TTTCAAATTAAAATTATGTCATGTCATCATGCCACATCATCAAAAAAGTGTCCACATTAGATAAATAATACCACATAACACCTATGTCATTGTTTGAATACCACATATCGTTTTTTTTAATGGTTATTAACGGTGCCGTGATGACCTATTAAAATATTAAGATTTTTACAGGTTTTGAAAAGTGAAAAGTGTGAACAAGAAAAAAAAATTTTGGAAAATGTTCATCACGAAAATGATATAAATGGAGGGTGCAGATAGATGTTTTGACCTTTAACTTTTGATTATGTTAGTTTGTTTTTTGGAGTTAAAGTAAATTATTGTCCCTCTACTTTTATTTCTTGTTCATGCCCGTCCTTCTATTAAGGATTTATTCATCGTCATCCCTTTACCTCCCAAACACTAATCAACGTCACCCCTCTACTGACCTTTTCCCATTTATTGTCGTCCTTATTTGGATGGTGTTACTTGAGACGTTTATTTTCACCGTTATACGTCGTCAGTTAACTGTTAACACAATTCTTTAAATTTTTTGCCCTTGTTCTAACTTAATGGCAGCCATGTGAGTTGTCATGTAAATAAATTAATAGTATAAAAGTTAAGGATAAGTTTTCTCCAAATATAAATTAAGATTTTTAATTAAACTCTTAATATTATAATAAATATACTATTATTATAAATTTATATTAAAAGAATAAAAATTTATTTTTAATTTATTAATTATTTAATTAAATTTATCTACTCACTGACCGTAATAAAATTAATATTAATGTTTTATTTTTTTATATATATTTATAACAAAAAGTATACTAAAGACATAGTCTAAAAACACTTGAACTTTCGAGTTTAGTAGCGTTAGGCTACGTTAAAGTACATCTACTTTTTTTTGAGTAACGGTTCAAATTCAACTTCTTGTAAAATTGTTAAAAAAAAAGACATAATCTAAAAACACTAATTTAAATTTGAAATTAAAAAAAATCAAAAAATCATGATAATTATAATGTCAAATTTTATAATAAAAAATATAAACATTTTTAATAAATTAATACATAAAAAAATTTTATTATTAATATTTAAATAATTTCATATCAAATTTTAACATTTAAAATACAAAGTATCTCATTTCCACTTTATCTCCTTGCAATTTTATGTTAGCAGGTAGTTAACATTACCAATTTACTACTGTTTCGCTATCCTTAGATATTTCTATAAATGCTTTTATAGAAAAAAAATTGATGCCTTTCCCTCGCATCTAATATCTGACTCCATTAATAGCTGTCATGTCCTGATGTCGAGAAAAGGTCTGAAGGACGCATTCGACATGGCGCTGAGCTGTAGACTCTCAATACCTAGTCTACAGCGTCTGATGATGCTGGTAAATAATTGCACATTTTCATCCACTCAATAATTGTACATTCATACACTGACATACTGACATTTTTTTTTTGTCTTTTATGGGCGAATAATTGCCTGTTCTGAATTTTTCTCCGTACTTTTGCATCAAGTTGCTCCCTGCTAAGCTTTGCTGGAGGGCAGGCAATTCCACTAACATTTTGAAAACGTGGGTATGCTATTGGTAAATGGCAAGAGGGAAAGGAATCCGAGGCAGAGAAAAAGATCTGAGGAAAGAGAAATAATGAAAGGAAACAAAATCAGGACATATTATTATAAAGACAATTGGGGCCAAGATGTATGTGTTTGCTTTTTGCCAATGGTGAAAATTCCAATTCACGGGAAAGACTGGAGG